TTATTTAACTTTCCTTCAAACCGATGAATTTTCCTTTATAATTATGGAATTGATGGAAGGAAATCTTATCGAATATTTTGCCAGTAATGTTTACGACCAAAGCCAAACCAAAGTGCTCTGCCGAGATGTGGCACTAGGCTTAAAGTATCTTCATGAGCAGAACATCATTCATCGCGATCTCAAACCAAACAACATTCTTTACAAAACCGATTCCCAACTCTGCCTGAAGATTGCTGACTTCGGTTTGAGCCGTCGTATAGACGTCATTACTTCCAATACTGTTATGGCCACCGGAGTCGGGACTCGTGGTTGGATTGCACCGGAGGTTATGAAATCTACTACTCACGAACATTCCACGTCATCGGATGTCTTTTCGTGTGGTCTTGTTTTTCATTATATCTTGTCAAAAGATCACAGACATCCATTCGGCCCAGCGGACTGCACTGCAAAGAGTGAGCTGGAAATCATACCTAAAACAGAAACCAATATTTTGAATAATAATATGGAAGGATGGGACAGCACTCTCGATCCTGAAGCATCTCATGTTATTACTGGAATGCTTAATTGTACTAACGAGAAAGAAAGACCTAAGGCATCGAAGTTGTTACACCATCCAATGTTCTGGTCAAAGAAGAAGAAGCTTGATTTCCTCAGCGCTGTTGGTAACCAAGAAGAATTCGAATGTCCACGTAATAAAAGACCTGCTCCACCATTACGGTCAGATGTCGAGAAAGATCTAGAAAAAGAGTTTGCAACAATGGTGGAGTTTGGCAAGTGGGATGATCCACGGTACAAGCAGACATCGGTGATTTTAAATGAAATGAAGAAGCCAATAATGAGGTCTGGAAAACTCCAACCGGTTCGTACAAAGTATGATTTCAGATCTTCTGTTGACCTGGTTCGATTCATTCGCAATGCCATCGCTCACGTTTCTGAAGCAAGTCGACCAACCGCAATCAGGACACAAATCCTCGAAGATGCTGTATTTCTGGATGAATTTCCAAATCTCGTGATAGAGGTGTTCAAAGCTGTGACTGAACACGAATGGGACAAATCGAGAGAGGAAATCAAACATGTCTTGGCAAATGACTGACAGGAACACTCTTCGCATACAATGGTAAGCATGCTGTACTTGAGCGTAACCCACAAATGAAAATAACCGGTACCAGTTAGAAGGAAGAAGGACTCATCATACTGAATGTCATTAAAAAAACTTCATTCTAACTTAAACACTAGTGCCTCTATATTTTGAACAGTAGCCCGTACTGAACTGGGTACTGCTTGATAATTTTGTTGTTTCGTCTCGAAATACGATGATGATTCGAGTTGTTGACCACTTGCACGTGACGTAAAAACATCTTCATCTGGAGGACAAAACAAATGATGTCTGCCCTCTTGGGAACTCGGTAAAAACCATTGTTTGCCCTCGAGTTGAAGCTGAATTCCAATGAACTGCAAAGTGTCTAATATAACGTTATACGAGAGAAAAAAAAAGATTTCTTTTGAATTCCGACCCCAAAATGCGTTTTATATACATCTTCTTCTCGAGTATTCAGAAAACGTGAGTGACATTGTCAGTTGTAAAGTATCATAAATCTTAATCTAGCATTTCGTGTTTAACAGAGTACAGAACATGTCTNGAATTTCCAAATCTCGTGATAGAGGTGTTCAAAGCTGTGACTGCACACGGATGGGACGTTTCTAGAGAGGAAATTAAACATGTCTTGGCAAATGACTGACAGGAACACTCTTCACATACAATGGTAAGCATGCTGTACTTGAGCGTAACCCACAAATGAAAATAACCGGTACCAGATAGAATGAAGGACACCATTCCTTCAACATACTGAATGTCATTAAAAAAACTTCATTCTAACTTAAACACTAGTGCCTCTATATCTTGAACAGTAACCCGTACTGAACTGGGTACTGCTTGATAATTTTGTTGTTTCGTCTTGAAATACGATGATGATTCGAGTTGTTGACCACTTGCATGTGACGTAAAAACATCTTCATCTGGAGGACAAAACAAATGATGTCTGCCCTCTTGGGAACTCGTTAAAAACCATTGTTTGCCCTCGAGTTGAAGCTGAATTCCAATGAACTGCAAAGTGTCTAATATAACGTTATACGAGAGAAAAAAAAAGATTTCTTTTGAATTCCGACCCCAAAATGCGTTTTATATACATCTTCTTCTCGAGTATTCAGAAAACGTGAGTGACATTGTCAGTTGTAAAGTATCATAAATCTTAATCTAGCATTTCGTGTTTAACAGAGTACAGAACATGTCTGAAACTTTGCTGGTGAAAAGACTACCACAGCGTTTCTTGCTTCTTTGGTGATGATGGATTTTGTCCTCGCTACGGACCAATTATGGAACCCAGTTATGCACAGCAGACTGTATAGTTATTGATTTTATTACAGACTAGTCAGACTGATTGACATTACATTTTATATATCGTGATTTATAGGTAATGACATTTATTGTAGTTTTGTAGTTTTACATGGCAGTCAATCCCGTTAAAGTAGTTCAGAGATGTAAAGACATCAAGTTCATAGCAAAGTCATTTGATATTCTATGTTAATTTTTAATGTTTTGCAAGAATATTCATTATTAACCAACAAAATATCACTACACAATGCAGATAACATTTGATATTCTAGGTATCTGGAGTATTAAATTGAATTAATTATTTCCCACGAATTTCAAAAACAGGACTTTGTTGTCTTGATGTCTTTTCAACTGGTCAGCGTACATGACATGGGATCAGTGACTGTAGTTTTATAGGAAGAGATAGTAATACCTTGATGTACAGGTGGAACTAAATTTTACTCAAAATTGTGCTTAAGACGCACTTTTTACATAGATTTTATTGTAGTTTATCCATAGTTTATCCATATTGGAACTTACTTCTCTTTATCTTAGGAAATACATGACAATCACACATTCATTAGAAGCAACATTGAAAGGGGGAAAGGGGGGCACCTATGAGGCTTACAATCTATCATATATCCATATTGGAACTTACTTCTCTTTTGTCTTAGGAATACATTACAATCACACATTCATTAGAAGCAACATTGAAAAAGGGAAAGGGGTCACCTATGAGGCTTACAATCTATCATATATCCATATTGGAACTTACTACTCTTATGATAAGTCTTCGGAGTACATTGACAAGGCGCGTGAAGTGTTTATCTTAGAATTGCGTTTGTTTTTCAACATTTGGTACATAGTTGATTTAGAGGATCTATAGTTTTATTCTTTGGCATAAATAGATTTGAAAGGTCACATCAATGAAGGTGATCAAATGATTACAGCTTGTTGGCATTGTACAGTTCCATTCAAGCTATTTCGATAGAAAACATTATACATTCAAACCTAATTCTAAATTGGTTGGTGAACCCCAACCCGTTTAGTGTGTCACTATTATTACAATTTTTGCATCAAAATCTGACTATTTAAGTGTGATAGTCAATTAAATAGAAGCAAAAGGAAGCAAAGGAGTTTAGACTAAGATTATTACTGTTATATCTATTTCACGGATTTTTTGACTCTAAGTATTGCCTGAGCACACACACTGTAAGTACGCGTAATGTATAGATTGAAGGCCAAAAACCCGTGAAATAGATATTACACTAATACTCCTTAGTACACTYTAATTGCATTGTTTTCGTTTGACTCCACGCTTTGTCCACCACGCTTTAATAGTTAGATTTTGTTTCACAGGCTTATTTACCTCTATTATTCACAATAAAAAGTAACCACAAATATGGCATTTAATTGCTTTTAATTTTTATCCTCTCCAACTTTTTAAATTTGCAGTCGCCCTATCTCACTATGACGTCACATGAAAATAATATATTGTTTGAACGCTAAGGATTATGGTTGCCAGAAAGGTCACAAAACTAAAACTAATCGGCATGCATTTCCTAGACACACATCAAAAAAACTAGAAAATGTGAAGTTCAACTTTCGACTACAAAGAAGAATTATTTGAAATTCTTACGATGTTTTGAGCGATTCTATCCTATTTGCAAACATGGCGTGACGTCATAGCGAAAGAAAGCGATGTTAAATTCAAAGAGCGGCAAAAGCGGGCCCTCCTATGAACAAGAGTGCCAAGTCATGTCAAAACCATGACTTCAGTTACCAGCAAAAACAGTTTTGGTAACATTGCAAAAGTTTAAACAAGCTCAAAAGGGAATATGCTTTGGTTGCTGCCCGATTCTGCCTCGCTTTGGTGCAGAACCACAGGCATCCCAATTTGATTTACATCCGCGGAAATGTCTATTGCTTGATGACATTCCCCTTGAATTATATGGAGAAATAAAATGAATTYATTTCGCTCCTTATGTCAACTAGTTCAGGTCCTTCAAAACTTGCCATGTCACTCCTTGTTGTGGTATCTAATGATTCTTTAAGAATTGAAATTGAACAGAAATATTTTTTGTCTTCGATTTCTCACTGTATTGCTTTTTTGCCTACCCAAAAACATGATGGTCAAAACCGTCGCTTGACCTATATTGAATGGTGCATCTTTGGGGCATCTTTGTTTCATTGTGGTAATTAGACATATTTCCCTTGATATGTAGTGTTAATTTCAACGCGCACTGTTTGACAATGCATMTGCGTAGTTTGTGACATAGCCACTTCAAAGGTTACACATCGCCAATAAGGGAAAATTCCATTGTCACTAAGTGCCTTCATATAATAAGTTACGGATTTTGATTAGGGAAAATTCCCTTTGACTAGTGTCTTCATATCAATATGGATTTTGATTAGGGAAAATTCCCTAAGTGCCTTCATGAAAATTCCCTTCACTAGTGTCGTCATATCAAAGTTACCAATTTGTTCCTTTATTATTTGAAGGTATGAATTTGATAGAGATTTTTCTTTGTGATTTAGTCAATTTTACACTTCATAAGGGTTGGTAAAGCTTCCTGTCTTTGACAAAACGACCCATCCCATCCCATGTGATTTTTGGCGATTTCAAAAGAACTACGACGACACCAATCTTTACCTTGTAAACCGTTGCCGTTTATTATTACTGAAATTCGTACAACTGGACAAATCTTTTTTCAAGTGTTAATCAGGCAAAAATAAGCTCATTTGACTTTGTAGTCATTGTATCAACATGTATCCCCATTGGAGGGAGGGGTATTCTATCTGATAGGCTCATATTTCAAAGAGGACATACCTTTACACATATGGCGTGATGCCAGTATAAACACAGTTTGTCTACAGTAGTTTCCTCTTTCACTTTCAAAAGATTGTCCTGCATACGCAGAGAGCCAGATATTGGGAGGTGAGAATCTTTAGTTTGTAGCCTTCTTCTCTTTTATTTTTCATCAATTTTAAGTTTTGATTTGTACATTTATAGTTGCTGGTGGATAATTTATGAATTTACGCCTAAGTCAACGGAATCTGGTCCGGTGGAGCGTGTCGTCGTGGTAAAGATTTCAAGTCTTCGCTTCAACTCGTCTCAGTCCATGTGCTAAAGTAATAGTTTAAAAACGTAAGTAATGAAGTAATGATTCTCAAACGTCAAAAACCATATAGAGCATTCAATTCTACGAACGTTGGGTATATTTTAAAGCAGACTGTTGTTTATTTGAATTATTATTTGAGATGACTTGGTAGCCTTCAGCTCGTAGTCAACAACTCGCCTTAGACTTCTAACAGTGAGATATTCAGGGCCACCAGGGAGAGTTGGGGCAAGAATATTGTTTTTCTGTTCAGTAGGAAATATTCACTGCTAAGGGATATGTTTTTCACATTTTCAAGAAGTTTTTTAATCGCAAAATTGTCCACATTTTGACTGCTTTTTATGGTTTTAAAAATGAGCTTGCGAAGTCAAAATTTACATCCAGATGTTTGTTATTATCTTTCATTGACGATTATGAAGTCGATTGATGTCTTTATTTGTTTTAAATGGATCAAATAAGGCGTTTTTGAGCAGTCATAATCACGCGATGTTTTTGTCAATTTCAGCCATTTCTAGTCAGTGTCAGATTTTTCTAAATTTCTCGCGTTTAAAATAAAATTTTCGAAAATAAACCCCACCACGATTCTTAGTAYATAATAGGGTMYCAATGGWTAAAATATGAAGGATTTTGATTTTTCATCATGTGCCACCCTTTGCTCGGTGTTAGTAGACATTCGCTCTTAAGGAGGGCTTGAAAAATCTATCGAAGTTGTTGCGCAATACTAGCTAATATAAAAAAAAACAGGAAGGGGGAGTTACGCGGAGGGTCAAAAAGTGTGAAAATCCACCAAATCTCCCCCCCTGTTTTCTTCCTTGTTATCCGTTCTCTAGACAAACAGAGATCATGGTTGGTCGATTAACAATCATTAGGAACATTGCATGTAACGGCCACTACACTCAACTTCGAATGAAGAGAAAAAATGTTGAGTGCTTTCCAAGAGAAGGATCGTTAATAGACAGCGACTAGTTGTGGCGGAATACTGTTAAATTTCATCTGGGCTATTCGAAAAAATCACAAATACCTGAGGTTTGTAAATAAATAAGAAGAGTGTTTGGCAATCTTGCATGCTCATGGCATAAAGCATAAATGAACCTTGAATCGTCTTTGCAATTGAAAGGATTTTACATTGAAGTATAAAGGGTTTAGATTAGTTGCGATTTTATATGACTATAATTATGCATAACACAGGTAACCCATAATATGTGAAAGTGCTTTTTTTATTATAACTACCTATTAATATACTTTATTTTGTTACAATCAAATATTCCCTTTTGTCATTGATAACTGATTACTTGTAGTTATATTTATCATTTAAGCGACGGAAACTTGTCTTTGTATGTGCTTTGCAACCTGAATGAAAATACCGGTGTACCGCGCTACTCCCCAAAGTCTTCAACTTTTAAATAGTGACAATATATTCTTGTAAGAATATACAACTATGCTATTTCTAATAGCAATAACACAGTGAAAATAGTTTGCATTAGTAGACTGCATCATTTTCACCTCGATGTCTGTAACTTGTACATTTCATTTCTGAGCGAACAATCTCCGTACACAAACTTGGCACCATTTGCGATCTTTTCAGTATTGTTGTGCAATATGACTCGTTGTACGTTTTTCGTTCTTTCGAATAAGCAAACAAGCTGTGGGACATCCGATGAATATTCAGTTTAACGGAATGTATATATTACCAAGGATACATCTGGCTATTTAGGCTGGTTTAAACTAAGATCGGGGATTGCGAAATAAAATTTCTTCTAGCAAGAGCAGGATATTTAATCTACCTTTAGAACTATTTTGATAGCGAATAGAAGTATTGCAGTATGTCAAAGAAAAGCAAACTGTAAAAACTCTCAAGGTGCCTATATGTTGTACATATTATCTTTGAGGCACTTGAACTGGATGTACCTGTCACTCCTGTAAACCGCAAACGACCAAAATGTCACCGAAAACTGTAGTTGCTCGACATAGTCAAGTCAAAATAAAATATTTTTGTCAAACTGCGAAAAAATTCATCTTTTTAAGTATACCCAGAATGAAATGAACCTTCTTTGTTTTAGTCCTTAGAAGGAGCCATCTTGAATGACAAAAAATGCCATAATGACTTGATCAAAGGTGCAGATAAGTTAGCAAGAAAAAAATTAGCCTCGTTTGTGCGCAAAATATTCCTAATTGTGAGAATAAAAGTGTGAGATTTCAAATCATTTTTGTTGTTTTTCTTCACAAATTCCGTGCGTTTTCTCGGGCTATCAATAAAACAAAAGAATGTTACCTGGGTTTTGAGGCTAACACAGAGCAAACAAGAACTCGAAATTGGAGTATTGAGTACCGTATTTACTCGAATAGACGCCGCGGCGTTTATTTCATTTTTCACGATCCATTTATCCATTTTTGCGGCGTTTATTCGAGGGCGGCGTCTATTCGGGGACGGCGTTCATTAAAAAGACACTTTATTCAGTACTACATACCGTACTTTATATTGTATCTTTTTACTAACAAACAGTAACGAATCTCAATATATAAATGTCGTGTTCATTTTGTCTATTCAATTTATGATTTTAACCAGAGTTAAACTTTTATTTCAATATCAATGTCCACCTTGTGGTCGAAATCTAACAGCTGACGAGTACAGTCACTTCGAAATAAAAAGAAAAAATATTCCCACTGGTATCATTATTTCCTCAAATTGACGTCGCACCCAGATGCGGCGTCTATTCGGGGGCGGCGTCTATTAATATTTTGAGCTTTAAGTGCGGCGTCTATTTGAGGGCGGCGTCTATTCGGGGGCGGCGTTTATTCGAGTAAATACGATATTTAGTTTGACTGCTCAAACCTTTCGCATTCCTTGACTTCATTCATTGTATGTATCACAATTGAAACATTTCTGATTATGATAGTTTATAGTGGTTTGCCGGACCTCTTACAACGGTTGATAGCATCTCATCATTTAAAAAATACCAAAACTCGGTAAAATTACCGCAAACTCGTGTTGAATTTGGCGCGAGTGCGCCTCTGACGTCACTTCCTATGAATATGCAATGAGTTGGACGGCAGGCTCTCAAATAATGGCGGATCAGAAAACGCGAAATTCATCGGTTCAAAAATATATCTTTCCGTTGACGTATAGACACAAAAAACGGCCAGAATACTATTTGGTATTTATACTTTATTCTGTATAAATTTCAAGAATTTTAGTATTTTGATAAGACTAGCACTTTAAGTAGCCAACTGTATGCATATCATCATCAGACTGTGTTATCACTTTTAAATTAAGCTTTTATTTCTTACAGTAAACTCAACAAGAATATTCAAGATGTAGACGAAAAAAGGTAACAATTATTGATTTGTTCGCAGATACAGCAATATACAGAAATTATGATCTTCAGTTTTGCTCATATTTCAAGTATATATAAAATACATCAGAAATTATGGGGTATCAAAATGCATTGTAATGCGCCTCAGTGGCTGCACGTCCCGAAAATCGCTCCTGTAATTTTTTGACTTTAACTTCAATTTTCATCTTCTATCAAGATATAAATACTACTTGCTTCATTCATCATCGCTGATATCTTTTAATATAGTACTAGTGCTAGGCAACTTCAAAAACAAATATCAGAAATGATATGCCATAATTTTTGATATGTTCTAAAGATACTTGAAATGTATCTTAATTAAAACGATCATAACTACAGCATATTGCTGTTAGTTATGTGTATAGACGTAATTAGTCATAATATTCATTTAAACTAGTTTTAAAGGATATTCATCAATGCCTAACATTAGCTAGTTGTTCAGTTTCTTGTCTCTAGCTATTTTCTCTTTTTGCAACTCGTTAGCTCGTAGTTATGATATAGGATCTGAGATAGTCTATACTATAATTACTAAGTATTGCGCGCTCTAAAACCGTTGTTTCAAACGTCTTTTCCTAGACAAATGTTTATCGCAAATTTCTCATCACTGAAGAAAATGCATGTTTTTTGCAGCTTATTATAAAGAAATGGCGCCAATCCAATCAAACCCTTTATTGCAACGAAAAACAAGACATCCATCACAACTTGTATAGCTTTGAAACTCAATGTCATTCAGAGATAAAGTTACCAAAAGGTTTGATCCAATGTATATCAAAAAGACCATGCCGACAAGAAAAGGCGTGCGCATTAAATAAAGAGCAGTCCTTTCTTTCACACAATGAAATACAGGTGACGACTTTACCATGGTCTGTTATAAGGAATGTATGTGCAACAGATAGAACCTTAGCATTTTATATTTAACAAACTAAAATTTCATAAATAGCGCTATAGCATTCCAACATGGCGGGCGTAGATACTACTGAAAGTTCATTGATAAAAGCTGCTAGAGTAGGGAACTTAAAAGAAATGTATCGACTTATAGAAGGCGGAGCTCGCGTCAACGCAGTAAATGAAAACGATCAAACAGCATTAATGATTGTTGCGAAAAACTGGCGCTATTTTATACCCGAAATAGCGATTGCTTTAATCAAAGGTGGAGCTGATGTCAACATGAAAGATAAAGACGGCAAAACAGCACTGATGCATGCTATAGCTCAGAAAAGTGAAGACATTGCACTTGATATAATTAAGCACAGCAAGGATCTAAAATTAAATGCTGTTGATAATGAAGGCCAAACAGCATTGATGAAAGCTGCTATAAATAAATATGATGGAATGAAGACAATTGCCGATGCACTAATCAAACGTGGTGCTGATGTCAACATACAGGACATAGAAGGCAAAACAGCATTGATGTATGCTGTTGCTCAGAGAGACGAAGACACTGCTCCTCTTGCAATAATTGAGGACAGTGATGATCTAGATTTGAATGCTGTCGATAATCGAAGCCAAACAGCATTAATAAAAGCTGTTAGAAGTGGAAGGACAACTATTGTCGATGCACTTATTAAACGTGGTGCTGATGTCAACATACAGGACATAGAAGGCAAAACAGCATTGATGCATGCTATAGCTCAGGGAGACGAAGACACTGCTTTTGTAATAATAGAGCACATTATTACTTATGGAAAGACGATTAGTGTCGATGCACTAATCAAACGTGGTGCTGATGTCAACATAAAAGATAAAGAAGGTAAAACAGCACTGATGCATGCTATAGCTCAGAAAAATGAAGACATTGCACTTGCAATAATTAAGCACAGCAAAGATCTAGATTCAAATGCTGTCGACAATGAAGGCCAAACAGCATTGATGTATGCCATAGATTACGAAAATGAAAACACCGCACTTGCAATAATAGAGAACTGCAAAGATCTAGATATAGATACTGTGGATAATCAAGGCCAAACAGCATTGATGAAAGCTGCTTTCAGTCGAGGAATGACGACATTTGCTCTGGCACTAATCAAACGTGGTGCTGATGTCAACGTCAAGGATAATAAAGGCAAAACAGCATTGATGTATGCCATAGCTTACCCAAATGAAAACACCGCACTTGCAATAATRGAGAACAGCAAAGATCTAAATTTAGATACTGTCGACAATCAAGGCCAAACAGCATTGATGAAAGCTGTTTTCACAGAAATGAAGACAATTGCCGATGCACTAATCACACGTGGTGCTGATGTCAACGTCAAGGATAAAGAAGGCCAAACAGCATTGATGTATTCTATAGCTTACGCAAATGAAAACATCGCATTTGCAATTATGGAGAACAGCAAAGATCTAGGTATAAATACTGTCGACAATCAAGACCAAACAGCATTGATGAAAGCTGTTTTCAGAGGAATGACGACAATTGCCGATGCACTAATCACACGTGGCGCCGACGTCAACATAAAGTATAATAAAGGCAAAACAGCATTAATGTATGCTATAACTTACGCAAATGAAAACACCGCACTTGCAATAATAGAGAACAGCAAAGATCTAGATATAAATACTGTCGACAATCAAGGCCAAACAGCATTGATGAAAGCTGCTATCAAAGGAATGACGACAATTACCGATGCACTAATCAAACGTGGTGCTGATGTCAACATGAAGGACAAAGAAGGCAAAACAGCATTAATGTACGCAATAGCTTATAAGAGTGATTCGATAGCTGCTGCACTAATCAGTGAAACTAGTAACGATTTCAGTGTCAATAGAGTCGATAATCAAGGGAAAACAGTATTGATGAAAGCTATTATAGATGGGATGACGAGATTTGCAATTGCACTTATCAAACGTGGTGCTTATGTCAACGTAAAGGACAAGGAAGGCGAAACAACATTGATGCATGCTATTGCTCAGAGAGACGAAGACACTGCTTTTGTAATACTTGAGCACAATAAAGATCTAGATTTGAATGCTGTCGATAATCAAGGGAAAACAGCATTGATGACAGCTATTACAGATGGGATGACGAGATTTGCCATTGCACTTATCAAACGTGGTGCTGATGTCAACGTAAAGGATAAAAAAGGCAAAACAACATTGATGCATGCTATTGCTCAGAGAGACGAAGACACTGCTTTTGTAATACTTGAGCACAGTAAAGATCTAGATTTGAATGCTGTCGATAATCAAGGCCAAACAGAATTGATGAAAGCTGCTATTAAAGGGATGACGACAATTGCCATTGAACTTATCAAACGTGGTGCTGATGTCAACGTAAAGGATAAAAAAGGCAAAACAACATTGATGCATGCTATTGCTCAGAGAGCTGAAGACACTGCTCTTGCAATAATTGAGCACAGTAAAGATCTAGATTTGAATGCTGTCGATAATCAAGGCCAAACAGAATTGATGAAAGCTGCTATTAAAGGGATGACGAGAATTGCCATTGCACTTATCATACGTGGTGTTCATGTTAACTTTAAGGACAAGGAAGGCGAAACAGCATTGATGCATGCTATTGCTCAGAGAGACGAAGACACTGCTTTTGTAATAATTGAGCACAGTAAAGATCTAGATTTGAATACTGTCGATAATCAAGGACAAACAGCATGGATGAAAGCTACTTTACATAGAAAGACGATAGTTTCCCAGGCACTTATCAAACGTGGTGTTCATGTTAACATCAAGAATAAAGAAGGCAAAACAGCATTGTTGCATGCTATTGCTGAGAGAGACGAAGACACTGCTCTTGCAATTATTGAGCAAAGTAAAGATCTAGATTTGAATGCTGTCGATAATCAAGGCCAAACAGCATTGATGAAAGCTGCTTTAAATAGAAAGACGAAAGTTGCCGATGCACTAATCAAACGTAGTGCTGACGTTAACATGGAGGACAAAGAAGGCAAAACGGCATTAATGTACGCAATAGGTTATAAGAGTGATTCAATAGCTGCTGCACTAATCAGTGAAACTAGTAACGATTTCAGTGTAAATAGCGTCGATAATCAAGGGAAAACAGCATTGATGAAGGCTATTACAGATGGGATGACGAAATTTGCCATTGCACTTATCAAACGTGGTGCTGATGTAAACATGAAGGATAAAGAAGGCAAAACAGCATTAATGTATGCTATATCTTACGCAAATGAAATAACCGCACTTGCAATAATGGAAAAAAGCAAAGATCTAAATTTAGATACTGTGGGTTATCAAGGCCAAACAGCATTGATGAAAGCTATTATCAAAGGAATGACCACAATTGCCAAAGCACTTATCACACGTGGTGCTGACGTCAACATGAAGGACAAAGAAGGCAAAACAGCATTAATGTACGCAATAGGTTATAAGAGGGATTCCGTAGCTGCTGCACTAATCAGTGAAACTAGTAACGATTTCAGTGTCAATAGCGTCAATAATCAAGGGCAAACAGTATTGGTTAAAGCTATTACAGATGGGATGACGAGATTTGCAATTGCACTTATCAAACGTGGTGTTTATGTCAACGTAAAGGATAAAGAAGGTAAAACAGCATTGGTGCACGCTATTGCTCAGAGAGACGAAGACACTGCGTTTGCAATAATTGAGCACAGCAAAGATCTAGCTATGAATGCTGTCGATAATCAAGGGAAAACAGCATTGATGACAGCTATTACAGATGGGATGACGAGATTTGCAATTGCACTTATCAAACGTGGTGCTTATGTCAACGTAAAGGATAAAGAAGGTAAAACAGCATTGGTGCATGCTATTGCTCAGAGAGACGAAGACACTGCGTTTGCAATAATCAAGCACAGCAAAGATCTAGCTATGAATGCTGTCGATAATCAAGGCCAAACGGCATTGAAGAAAGCTATTATAGTTGGGATGAGGAAATTTGCAATTGCATTTGTCAAACGTGGTGCTGATGTTAACTTTAAGGACAAGGAAGGCGAAACAGCATTGATGCATGCTATTGCTAAGAGAGAAGAAGTCCTTGCTCTTGCAATAATTGAGCACAGTAAAGATCTAGATTTGAATGCTGTCAATAATCAAGGCCAGACAGCATTGATGAAAGCTATTAGTATAGTTTGGATGACGACATTTGCAATTGCACTTATCAAACGTGGTGCTTATGTGAACCTCAAGGATAAAGAAGGCAAAACAGCATTGATGCATGCTATTGCTCAGAGAGACGAAGACACTGCTCTTGCAATTATTGAGCACAGTAAAGATCTAGATTTGAATGCTGTCGATAATCAAGGACAAACAGCATTGATGAAAGCTGCTATACATAGAAAGACTGGAGTTTTGGAGGCACTTATCCAACGCAAAGCATCGGTGGACGCAAAGAATAATTTAGGCAGGACAGCATTGTTTTATGCGTTAGTGGAATCCTACTCAGCCGCTCGATATCTCTTAGAAAATGGTGCAAATCTTCACTTGATAGACAACTATAATGTCAGTGTCTTATCGTATTTAATTCATCACTGTATTTATAACGGCGGAGCTATTGGAAATTTAATGGAAGAAAAGCTTGCTTTATTGAAAGATAATGGAGTCAAGAAAGAAACAATTGTGAATGGACTTATCAATGCAGTATTCTGTAAATTGCCACTTTTAATGAGTCCAGTAAACACCATCTCAAAAACGTCCATCACAAAATTGCTTACTTATGCTAGTTACTTATGCAAACTTTCAAAGAAAAGATTTAGATTCAAGAAAGATAATAAATGCAGATTATTGCAAGACCTGGTAGTTTCGATTGACAGAGACGAATATTCTATGTCTTCAGTATTTGATTTATCAATTGAGCTCGATAAACTTCTGGAACTTGGTGCGGATCCAAATAGTTGTGATGAGCAAGGCAGCACCATTGCACACCACATCACTTTACTAGGGGTGTATGATAACACTGTTGAAGCTAAAAATGTTATTGATGTTCTTCTCTCTTTGGAGAAAAAGAGACTGCAAATCAACAAGAAAAACTGCAAGAAGGAAATACCTCTTTTCTTTATGCTAACAAAAGCTGTTAACCATGATGAGGGAAGGCTTAATAAAGAAGTCATTTTAGATCTGTGCATTTTTTTTCTTGAAAGAGACAGTGCGATATTAAAGGAAACATCTCAAACCGGCGATTCAGTATTTCATCTCTTAATCAAGCTTTCAAGTGTCGGAGATATTAACGAGGAATCTTTAGAGCGATGCATAATGGAAATATTACGATTGTTTTCTCAACAACAACGCGAACTCAGCCGTATTGTTAACAGTACTAACGATGAAATGAATACTCCTCTTCATGTTTGGGCGGCCGGATCACAGCAAAAATCAAGAGCAGGGAAACGTAATAATCAGCCATGGCATGCTTCTGACATTTTGAATTGGCAGGGACCCTCAAAAAAGATACTTGATCAGCTTTTGCGTTGTGGTGCTGTGCATCATGCAAGAAATCTGAAGGCCGAAACTCCTCTTCATATGTGTAGAACCTGGACTGCTGTAAAGCTATTGTTTAAAGCAGGAGCAAAGACGAATGATGTAGACGCATTAGGACGATCGCCTTTACTTTCAGCAGCAAATAATCTTCTATTTCTTGAGAAGTCTGGCTGTTTTTATCCGGACGTTTCACCAGATGAGGCACCGACGTTTTGGCAAACAGTTCTGGACATGCGTTTTGATTTGTGGACTTGCGACGAGAATGGAGATTCTATCATTAGTATTCTTATAAAGGAAAACTCTTTTGAGCTAGCTGATGGCTGGATTGAAATTGCATGTGACAACAGCCAAAGCCTGTCGGATAAAACTTTGGTGGACGTGCTGAATGCTATCTGCAAAGATGAATCCACTCAGACAACCTGGAAAAGTATTCTAGTTGACAAATTGCTCAAACAGCTCAAATCCACAAGGCGTTCATTAGATTTGAGCTTAGCACTTCGATCCTGCTGCATGAATATCCGTGATCCTTTTGCTACACTAAAGCGCGCAGAAACAACGGAATTTGACTCTGTTCATTATGAAATTGTTAAACAACTTCTACGCTACGGTGCATCTGGTGAATCCTGCCTGGATGTTGCTGAAAATTGTCCACCTCTAAAGACTCTACTTTCTACGCCTGTCTCTATGGAAGAAAGACCTTTAGTCATACCCTGGACATCTTGCTCTCAGAAACACAAGAACCAGTTAGCTGAAGTTGCAAGACAACTCAACTGTAATACCGAGGGATCATATTGGTACCACGAGACGGAAATCGGACATGGGGCATTTGGACAAGTGTTTGTAGGCATTCATGAAAAAGACAGAATGGAAGTAGCCGTTAAAAGAGTCCGGCATACGCAACAGGATCTAAAAAAAGGTATTCGAGAGATTAGAACCTTAGCATCTCTTTCTGAATGCGAGCATATTGTTCGTTATTTAACTTTTTTTCAAACATCTGACTATTCCTTTATAATTATGGAATTGATGGAAGGAAATCTGATCGAATACTTTGCCAGTGCGTTTTACGACCGAAGGGAAACCAAAGAGCTCTGCCGAGATGTGGCACTAGGCTTAAAGTATCTTCACGATGAAGACGTCATTCATCGCGACCTCAAACCAAACAACATTCTTTACAACTACCCCAAACTTTGTCTAAAAATTGCTGACTTCGGTTTGAGCCGTCGTATAGACGTCAATGCTTCCTTTACTGTTATGGCCACCGGAGTCGGAACTCGTGGCTGGATTTCACCGGAGGTTATGAAATCTACCACTCACGAACATTCCACGTCATCGGATGTCTTTTCGTGTGGTCTTGTTTTTCACTATATCTTGTCAAAAGGTCACAGACATCCATTCAGTCCAGCGGACTGCACTGCAAAAAGTGAGCTAGAAATCATACCTAATACAGAAATCAACATTTTGAATAATAACATGGAAGGATGGGACAGCGGTCTTGATCCTGAAGCATCTCATGTTATTAAAGAAATGCTCAATTGTACCAACGAGAAAGAAAGACCGACCGCATCCATTTTGTTACACCATACAATGTTCTGGTCAAAGAAGAAGAAACTTGACTTCCTTACTGCTGTTGGTAACCAAGAAGAATTCGAATGTTCACGTGCTAAAAGGCCTGCCCCATCATTACGTTCAGATGTCGAGAAAGATCTAGAGAACGAGTTTGCAACGATAGTGAAGTTTGGCAAGTGGGATGATCCACGCTACACGCAGACATCGGTGATTTTCATTGAGATGCAAAAGCCAATAATGAAACATGATAAAAAGGGAAAACCTTACAACGTTCCTGCTAGAAAGTACGACATCGGTTCTACAGCAGAGCTGGTTCGATTCATTCGCAATGCCATTGCTCACGTAGCAAGTCAACCACCCGCACTCAAGACACAAATTCTCGATGCTGTATTTCTGGAAGAATTTCCAAATCTCGTGATAGAGGTGTTCAAAGCTGTGACTGCACACGGATGGGACGTTTCTAGAGAGGAAATTAAACATGTCTTGGCAAATGACTGACAGGAACACTCTTCACATACAATGGTAAGCATGCTGTACTTGAGCGTAACCCACAAATGAAAATAACCGGTACCAGATAGAATGAAGGACACCATTCCTTCAACATACTGAATGTCATTAAAAAAACTTCATTCTAACTTAAACACTAGTGCCTCTATATCTTGAACAGTAACCCGTACTGAACTGGGTACTGCTTGATAATTTTGTTGTTTCGTCTTGAAATACGATGATGATTCGAGTTGTTGACCACTTGCATGTGACGTAAAAACATCTTCATCTGGAGGACAAAACAAATGATGTCTGCCCTCTTGGGAACTCGGTAAAAACCATTGTTTGTCCTCGAGTTGAAGCTGAATTCCAATGAACTGCAAGGGGTCTATTGTAGCGTTATACGAGTAAGAAAAAAAGATTGCATTTTCTTGCCCCACCCCCAACTCGTTTTATCATGTTTACATCTTCTGGAGTATTCAGAAAACGTGTGTGGCATTGTCAGTTGTAAAGTAACATAAATATTAATCTAGCATTTCGTGTTTAACAGAGTACAGAACATGTCTGGAATTTTGCTGCTGAAAAGACTCACCACAACATTTCTTGCTTCTCTGGTGATGATGGATTTTGTCCTCGCTTACGGACCAAGCATGAAACCCAGTTATGCACAGCAGACTGTATATTTATCGATTCTATTACAGACTGATCATTGACATTGCATTTTATATATCGTAATGAATAGGAAAAAAACCTTGTGGTTTTGTAGTTTTACATGGCAGTCAAACCCGTTAAGGTAGTACAGAGATGTAAAGACATCAAGTTCATAGCAAAGTCATTTGATATTTTATGTTCAATGTTTTGCGACAATATTTAATATTCTGCAAAATATCATTACAATGCCGATAGCATTTGATATTCTTGGTATCTGGAGTATTAAATCGAATTAATTATTTCCTGTGAACTTCAAAAACAGGACTTTGTTGTTGTCATGATGTCTTTTCAACTGGTCAGCGTACATGACATGGGATCATTGACTGTAGTTTTATAGGAAGGATAGTAATACCTTGATGTACAGGTGGAACTAAATCTTACTCAAAAATGTACATAAGACGCACTTTTTACATTGGATTTTATTGTAGTTTATCCATATTGGAACTTACTTCTCTTTTGTCTTAGGAAATACANATTGCCTAAGCACACACACTGTAAGTACGCGTAATGTATAGATTGAAGGCCAAAAACCCGTGAAATAGATATTACACTAATACTCCTTAGTACACTCGAATTGCATTGTTTTCGTTTGACTCCACGCTTTGTCCACCACGCTTTAATAGTTAGATTTTGTTTCACAGGCTTATTTACCTCTATTATTCACAATAAAAAGTAACCACAAATATGGTATTTAGTTGCTTTCAATTTTTATCCTCTCCAACTTTTTTAATTTTCATGACTGTCGCCTTATCTCATTATGACGTCACAGCACAATAATATATTGTTTAAACGCTAAGAATTATGGTTGATAAAAAAGATCACAAAAATATGATTAATTGCATTTTTTTGCATGCATTTCATTATTACAAAAACTAGAAAATGCGAAGTTCAGTTTTGGAGGAAAAAGAAGATTTATTTGAAATTCTTACGATGTTTTGAGCTATTCTATACTATTTGCAAACATGGCATGACGTCATATCAAAAGAAAGCAATGTTTTAAAAACTCTAAGCGCGGAAAATGCGAGCTCTGATACGAACAAGAGCGCCAAGTCTTGTCAAAAACCATGACTTCAGTTACCAACAAATATAGTTTTGGTAACATTGCAAAAGGTTAAAAAATCTCAAATTTGGTTGTTGCCCGATTCTGCCTCGCTTTGGTGCAGAACCACAGGCACCCCAATTTGATTTATACCCGCGAAAAGGGCTATTGCTTGATGAAATCACTGGAAAAAAATCGCGCTCGCTTTAAATGTTGTAAATTTGATGTAAATATGATGTAAGCGTCCAATATGATGTAAATTTAATGGAAATCATTTACATCATTTTGGACACTTACATCATATTTACATCAAATTTACAACCTCTAAGGCTGATTTACACGGCACGATTGTCTCGTGCGATTTGTAACGACTTGAATCGTGCAGTGTAAATGCCCCTACGACTTATCTACAACAGTCGCACGCAACCTACGACTTGGAGTAGGATTTTGAACCACTGCTTAAAATCCTACGACTTGTAGTAGGCTACAAGTCGCGCGCCACAAATCGTACCGTGTAAATCAGCCTTTAAAGCGCGCGATTTTTTCCAGTGCATTCCCTTGAATTTGTATATGGAAAATGTATTTAATTCACTATGTCAACTAAATCCTTCAAAACTGGCCAGATAACTCCTTTTTGTGGTATCTAACTTTTGCAAATAATGATTCTTTTTTAAAAAAATGAAATTCAACGGGAATTATGTGACTTCGATTTCTCTTGTGAGTTTCACTACCAAAAAGCATGGTCAAAATCTTCACTTGATCTATTAAAAGGTGCATCCTTTTTTAACAGTAAATGTGCCCCCGACTACCAGGGGAAATGTCTTATTTTAACACCACTCAAACGTTAGAATCCCCGCTATTCCCCGGGGTTCGGGGGGCGGGGATGTCAATTGACTAGTGAATTAATCTCAATGGCCCTCAATGCACACTGTTTTTGGTCCTGTAAAGGTGTCACGCATTTGTGACATGATCAGTAACGCCACTTCAAAGGTTACACATCGCTAATAAGGGAAAATTCCCTTGTCAATAGTGCCTTATCAAGTTAGGGAAAATTCCCTCAGCTTCAATCACCGATCTGTTCCTTTATTCAAAGGTATGAATTTGATAGAGTTCATTTGACTGATATCAACGTCTATCTTATACTGCATAAATTATAYAAACGAGGTTATCATTGTTTCCTGTCTTTGTGACAAAACGCCCCATCCCATCCCCTCATAGTCAGGTAAGACGCGTGATTTTTGATGTCAAAATTTCCTTTGTAAATCTTTGTCGTTTATTACTGAAATTTATACAACTGGACCATTCTCTTTTAAAGTGTTAATCAGGCAAAAATAGCTCATTTGGCTTTGTAGTCATTGTATCAACATGTATCCCCAGTGGAGGGAGKGKTATTCTATCTGATAGKCTCATATTTCAAAGAGGACATGCCTTTACACACATTATAGCGTGATKCCAGTATAAACACAGTTAGCCCTCAGTAGTTTCCTCTTTCACTTTCAAAGGACTGTCCTGCATATGCAGAGAGCCAGATATTGGGAGGTGAGAATCTTTAGTTAGTTTGTAGCCTTCTTCTCTTTTATTTTTCWTCAATTTTGATAAGTTTTGATTTGTACATTTTTAGTTGGTGTTGGAATTTACGCTTAAGTCAAAGGACGCTGTTCCGCTGGAGCGTCTCGTCGTGGTTAAGATTTCAAGTCTTCGTTTCAAKTCGTCTCCATGTGCTAAAATAATGTTTARAAACGTAAGTAAYGAAGTAATGATTTTMAAACCGTCAAAAACYAAATAGACGAACGTTGTGTACATTTTAAAGCAGGCTGTTGTTTATTTGAATTATTATTTGAGATGACTTGGGTCCTTGCACGTCAGAATTCGTGTCGACTCCCTCGAGACACCGTGGGCCTCATGTTGTAATCAGCTCTTATTCAACAACTCGCCTTGGACTTCTAACAGTTAGATATTCGGGGCTACCAGGGATAGCTGCTACAAGAACATTGTTTTTCTGTTCAGTAGGAAATATTCACTGCTAAGGGATATGTTTTTCACATTTTCAAGTCATGGTAAACCCCGTAAAACCGTGTCTATCAAAATATAGGGAACACCGATTTGTAGAATAGGTTAGTTAATAGGAATTGCACGAGTAGAGGGTATCAGTATACAAGGTTAGAAATRGTACGTAGCTCAAAACCTAGTCCGCGTRGCAGCCYTCTTGGGATCCCTGTGGACGAAGAAAGAGGGGCTGTCGTCACAATGGGAAATTCTGCCTGCCCATGCAGGGGCGGRTGCACAMWTYTTTTAAGGGGGCTTGAAAAATCTATCGAAGTTGTTGTGCAATACTAGCTAATATTAAAAAAACAGGTCCTTCAAGGGAAAGGGGAGTTACGCGGAGGGGAAAGGGAATAACAGGTCTTGCTTCAATTTTCTATGAATGTAAAGTACACAYAATAGYCRACTTTAGATRTTTTGGTTCAGTGACCGTACACAAAAGAATTGCAGACGAGGCTCCGGGGAATAAAAGAATAAATCAAGATTATCCATTGTTTTCCCGGAGCCTCGTGTGCGTTCTTTTGTACATAGTCATCGAGCCAAAATATCTAAAGTTGACTATTACAAGTGCCGAGCACCGAAACGTGCAAGTCTCTTGAAAGCGCTAACGCTGGACGCAGGAACTAAAGGGCTCATAATTATATGGCACAGCTTAGCGGCTTAATCGAAATTGATGAAAAAAATCGAATTTTCTTTAAATAAGAATTAAAAAATTAAAGCAATTTTAAAAATTATTTCAAAAACAGTATATTTTTAGAATTAAAAAATTAGGGGGTGAAAATCGACCCAATCCAATTTAGCAATAAAAAAATTTATCTACTATTATCTTATATGTTACATTTATCAATTTTTTGATAAATTAGCTATCAGCTCGTAGTCACCACTCGCCTTCGAGTTAGCCAACTGTATGCATATTATCACTGTGGTATCACTTTTAAATTACAGTTGACTCTCTTTGAACGACCACCCTCGTAAGCGACCATCTCCCTTAAGCAACCACCTTTTAAATTTCCCGTTCTAATTGTTTCCCATATAAACTCTGTAAAAAAACTCTCTTGTAAGCGACCATCTCTCGTAAGCGACCACTTTTTCCTGATCCCGAGGTGGTCGCTTACGAGAGAGTTGACTGTATCACTTTTATTTCTTACAGTAATCAACAAGAATATTCAAGATGTAGACGAACAAAGGTAACAATTATTGATTTGTTCGCAGATACAGCAATATACAGAAATTATGATCTTCAGTTTTGCTCATATTTCAAGTATATATAAAATATATCAGAAATTATGGGGTATCATCGCTGATGTTTTTAAGATAGTACTAGTGCTAGCCAACTTCAAAAATATAGCAATGATATCCCATAATTTCTGATATATTCTGACTATACATACTTGAAATATATCTTAAAACGATCATAATTTCCAGGAGCCCATTACTAGGAGCCTTCCTCTTCCCATTGGCTTGTGGAACAGCATTTACCCCTCTTGGTGCTATTTTTAGCGGAGCTCCCGC